AATTAGATATCTTATTGAAGGTCTGAATGTTGGGTAATAACTATTGATTGTTTTCTATCTCAAAGATTTAAATATAATAAAGAGATGTAGGGCATAGCGGATTGAAAGACCTCCGTGGTCGAGCGGTTCGTGCGCCGGGTTTTATGGTGTCGCCGACTCGAGAGGTCCCGGGTTAAAATCCCGGTGGATGGGCAGATGTTTGTGTGATGAATACGAGCATTTGTACTCCAGTTATGGATGTTTAATACGTATTTCAATATAAATAAACTTATATATGTACGGTATAGGTATTCTATCCGTTACCCTAGCATCCCATAATACAAGCCTTACAGTGCTTACTTTGGGGCTAGGCTGATTGGTGTGAGTGTTGGAAATATTTATTTATTTATTTGCCACTCGAATTGGAGCGCCCGTCTGAGGCACCACCACCTTGCAGAACACCATAGTAAAATAACACTACATTTGTTGGTGTGTTGTTTCTGCTGGTGAGTAGGGTTCCAGGGCTCCGCGGGTTCGGGGATTGGGTTCAGACCAGCAAGGTGAGGATGGCTGGAGTGGCATACCTTCTGCCGCATCATCTATCATCACGACTGGATGGACTGGACTGGATCTATCAGGTGGGGTGGGATAATCTGTTGCGCCTCGTATAAAAAAACAAAACTCTCGGATATACAGTCCATATTTCGGCTCGATGGCGCAAATGCTTAACGCGTTCGGCTGCGATGGTTGAAGTTAAGCAACTTTCGCAGTGGTCGGTCATTGGATGGGTGACCAAAATGGGTTACTATCTCGAGCTCCTCCGTGCTCCGGAAGGCACGTTAAGCCGTTGGTCCCGGCTGCATCTGCAGTCGTTAGCACAATCCGCACTGGCCCGCGTGGTGAGTCATGGCCCAATATCCCTATTCCATCCATAGGGAAGGCCTGTGCCCCAGCAGTGGGGACATTAATAGGCTGATGATGATGATGATAAAAAGCAATGAAAGTATACAATAGAAGATCATAATTGTATTGTATGAAATTAAAATTATACTCAAAATATGTAGGTATTTATAGTTAAGTGAATCTTATACAGTTCATTGTTTTAAGGTTCTTTATCAACAAGCAACAGCTTATTAGTTGGTTATTCTGTAAGAACGAGGTCACTTTTCACTACGGAGTTTGACGGTGCGATTTGAAAATTATTTCATATTTGAATTTTAATATTAAATCACACCGCGGAATTGGAGGTGAAAAGTAAGTTTCTTCTTACAGAATATAACTGCAGAACTCTATTGATAAGCTTCCCGTTAAATTGGTGGTAAGCGCGTTCGGCTGCGATTGCTGAAGTTAAGCAACTTTCGCAGTGGTCGGTCATTGGATGGGTGATCAAAAATCTTCTATCACGAGTTCCTCCGTGCTTCGGAAGGTAAGTTAAATCTGCTGTCCAGTGCAGATTGGCGGGTGCTAACCGCCAATCTGCACTGGGCACGCGTGATGGGTCATGGTCCAATCTTTCTATTCGATGGAATCTACGGATGCGTAGATAAGGCCTGTGCCCCAGTAGTGGGGACATTATCACGCTGATGATAATGATGATGATGAATATGATTTTATCTCTACATAATAAAGTAATATTTCGAGTTTAGGGTGATTGCTTTCGTAGTTTCTATATTATTTCCATATTTCGACAACATAAGATAAAAAAAACATCAAATTAAATAATCAATCTCATGGTTTCACTTCTTCGACATCACATCGACGACATCACATTAGTTGGTGCCCATAGATTTACAGGGATTTCGTGCTATTAATGGAACACCCTCCTGGGGACCACTCCCGCTCCTTTTTTTTTATAACGCAGGTAAAAAATGCTATTTACAGACGACGGCGCCTTTAAGAGGCACACCGCCGAACGGACCTCACACCTGGCTCCCGCAAGTCTTACGGGCCCCCCAGTGGCTGTCCACCGAGGACCCCGCAACCCTTACGGGCGCTTTACGGCATAATATCCGCTAAAAAAGTCCTGCGAATACCCTCTTAGCGCGAAGCCGCGGGATCCCCGTTTAGGGATTCTTCCGCGTCTACCCACTCCCGCTCCTGTAAGGAAGAGGGTGATCTCAGCGCATAAATCAATATATCTTTATTCGAACTGGATGTATAGTACAACTCTTTTGAATCGTCCAAAAAAAAACACAGTGAAGTTTTTGATGGTGCTATATTTCTGCCGGTGACTCAAGTTACCGAGCTTTTAAGGAAGGGATGGCTAACCAAGGGCACGTGTAATAGTAAGTAGAAATAAAAGAAAGAAAGCAAGAAAATAGTTTTTATTAACCTTTAAAAAACAAATCCTTTTTAAAGGTTATACATTAGGTAACGGCTAACCAGGTCCTTGCCTCAGCATTAGCTGATGCCACATTGTGTCGCACTAGCGCTGATATTCTGGCAGAGCCTGCTTAATATGAATAGCTAAGTGAAGTGCCGGCATGATGTAGGTGTTATGACGATTGACGAGCAAACGCAAGTGATCCCTACGCTATAACAATACAGAAGTCATACTAATTTTACTTTAAGTTATGCGTATAATTGAAACAAAATGTAGTTTTCAGTTGATTGAATTCTTATATTTCTATATATATATATATATATTATTATATTATTTAATATTAAATATATTAAATTTTTTTAACACTCACGCTAATTAGCCTAGCCCCAAAGTAAGCACTGTAAGGCTTGTGTTATGGAATACTAGGGTAACGGACAGAATACACATATAAATATATTTATATAGAAATACATATCAAACATCCATGACTGGAGTACAAATGCTAGTATTCATCACACAAACATCTGCCCCCAACGGGATTCGAACCCGGGACCTTTGGAGTTGGCGACACCATGAAACCCGGCGTACAAACCATACGGACACGGAGGTCGTCTATGACCTCATTAAACATGTTTTTAGAGAAATGACACTTTGATATGTAAAGATTTGCTATCTCTGTCCTAAGGGTAAAGGACTGGGTTCAGGCCGGCAAGGCAAGTATGTCCAAAGCGGCACATTTTTTTGCCGCATGAGCTATATTTTTGATTGGTAATGCGCAGCACATTGCTTAAAAACATTTGTAAATAAAAAAAAAATTAAAGAATAAAATAAAAAGCAAAAGTCGAGGATTTATATTTGATTTATTAATGCGTTCAGTTTGTACTAGGATACGAATTAAAATTAGATAATTATAAACACAACATGTTTTACAGCCGATGGGAGACGTACAGTGGAGTAGTTTAAAGATTGGATACAAACTGCAAGTGAAAAGACATGGTTAAATCTTAGATTAAAACAAAAAGGGTAGATACGGCACTAGCCTCACAAAAGTGATCCGCCTAAATTGTGGCCCAAGACCACAATCGCTTTAGTCACAACTTGACATGCAAACGACGTATATGTGAACGCCAAAAAGAAATATTGCTAATATTTTGTGTTTATATGATAAAACAATGCCTAAGTGAGTTTTTAAAAAGTGCTCAAATTGCTCAAGAGCCAAACTTTTCATTCGTAAGTACTATAAAATATATTTTTCCATTAAAATTGCTGTTTGTTTTGAATCTTATTCGGTAGTGACGTCGAGTACTGGTCGCGTGATTGGTCGGTAGTGCAGTGACGCGGATTTCGCCGTCTCGTTCGCGCTGCCGTTGAAACTTAACGTGCTGTTTCGTTCGGGTCGGTAATGCAGTGACGCGGATGTCGCCGTCCCGTTCGCGCTGCCGTTGAAACTTAAATTGCTGTTTCGTTCGTTCGATTGTATCTTTACAAACAGGTGGATGTGTGAGTGTTGCATATGTAGTAAAGTGGGATCAGTTTTTGTTTGATGCAAGTATGAGCGTACCGTATCAACCCTTTTTGTTTTAATCTAAGGGTTAAATAGTTATTTATGATATTAGTGCGGTATGTTGGTTATTTACAAACGAGTAGATAGATGAATGTAAGCCCAAGACGAACTCGAGGGCTTATCATAGTCGCGAGTTTGTAAATACCAATTGCGCACGAATGTCATACAACGTTTTTCAACACATTTGCGAGAAAACGGTACTATAAGTATCTAATTTAAGTATATGAAGCAAGCTTTTTCCAATCAAATAATGGCGCGCATTTGAAAATGGCATTTCCTACGTACGGGTGGTGAAAATTAGCTTTTCGTCTCTTTTTTAAACTCAATCTCGAAACACATTTATTCAGTCTAGGCTGTTAAAAGCTCTTGTGAAATTCAAACGCTACGCAACGCTACGGCGGGAGACCTTGTGTTTTTAGTATTTATGTGAATCAAAGGATTATAGATTAAAATCGTTTCCAAGGGGCGGTTTGATTGAATGACCGCTTCATTCTATGGCCCGTAATTTTGAACTTTCGAACAATGTATACAACCTCCGTAAATTTATTTTTGAGAAAATATGTTCAAAATTTAATGTACAAAGACATACTAAACATATTTTTTTTTTATATTATATTAAGTATTAAAAAGTAAGTAATATAAGATAAAGAGTATTTTTTAGCTAGTGGTGAAACTAAAAAATAGTATAAAACCTTCAACGTATAAAGGAACTTATCGTTTATCGTATAAAGGAACGTAGTTTGCTATTATATTCGAAACAATGGATTGAAGTAATCATAACTTGAATGTTTTATTAAAGTACCGTTTAAAATTTTCAATAACTAATGTTTTTAATGTTAATAAGGAAAACCCTTTTTAAACTTAACTTAAAAAATTGTTAATTATATTCAATTCGAAATGTGTAATAAACCCAACTAGCTATCGAATTCAATTAAAGACTGGCAGTATACATTAACAATAAGCTTTGTAATGACATATATTTCGCTCCTGTACAAAGACCTTGGTATCTGTACCAACCCTCTATACAAAGTGGTTGTTGTCCTTTGAAGTTGGTATAGCAAGCACCTATATCGCGCGGATTGGACGCTGTGAATAAAAAAAAAACTTCTATACACCGTGAATTTTTAGTTAACTATGTAACGTAATAAGTAACTATTTTTATTTACACGAGTTTTTATTTAGACGACAAGCGTTTTTTTTACGAAATATGTCTGAATTTGCTAGTAAATTTTCTCAGATACCTCAAAATTCAAGGTACCTACCTATGTTATGTAACTCGAAATGGCGCTCCATGTAATGAAATACAACGCGCCCGCGCTTCGAAAGCTGGAGCGCCTTACATTTTTTATTGACAGCTTCCGCTAGCCTTATAATCTGCAAATTATTTGCAACCAATTTGCGAAATGTTCCAATCGATTTCGAATTAAGACGCTTAAACTGATACGTTCTCAAAATTGTATTTACATATATTGTATTTATGCGATTTTTTTTTGTTGCGATTGGCCTCTCGCATGTGACAAATAAACGAATTGACGCTTGGTTTGCGCTAAATTGAAATACAATTTGAAAGATGGTTCAATTCTCCCACTGGGGGCGAGTCTTCCGGTTTACCCTTTAAGTAGAAAGTTTTCCGATTGCTTTGGAAAAAAACAACTGAATTTGTGTCATAAGAATAAAGATAAAAGTCATAATTTATTATTAACATGAAATGTGTATATATTAATACCAAATTAATACTCAATGTAGAATTACAGACAGCGAGGAAAAGTTGAATATATTTTTCACTTTTTGTCTTCGGTGATTACACAGAGAAAAAAAGCTAATTTTCATTTGGATAACTATTCATCTTTTTTAATCCGTTACAAATACACTGTATTTTTAAATAAACCAATTTTAATATAACATAAAATCACATAACAATAATACTAACTTAAGATTATACTTCAAGCAATAAGTATATATAGTTACACAAGTACAAAGGTACTATTGACGAGGCAAATATTTTTTTATCTAAAATAATAACACATAAGAGAGGGTGCATGGACATATTCAATAAAAAAATATAACCGAATTGGTTGTTTGCTATACATATATAAGTTTTTTTATTAAGTGTCTTTTTTGTTTTTTAAAGCAGAGTGTATACGCAAATGTATAATCTTACAGAGCCGTAATCTTTACTTAAATAAAATTTATGAAATTATGATTTAACATCCTATTTTTGAAGGCATAGGTAGATACGTATTCTTATGTAAATCTTCTAAAATAAAAAAAGACAATATTATTTACGGCCTAATTAAAATAACTAAACCTACTTAAGTAGGTATTGGTGATTATTTAATTAAATAATATTTTTTTTATTTACATACTTATGTAAAGTACTTAGTTAATCACAATCCATTCAGCGGGTCATTGTAAACATTGCTAACACTTTCCTATAGAAGAATACAAATTAAAAGTTTTTTAAAAGTGGATTTAATATTATGAAACTATTACTGTTTGAATAAATTAAAGCCGTGAATGTGAATCTGTGGTTAGTGCAATAATACACGAGTCACCAACCGCATCGGATGGCGGTTGCGCGGATGTCACTTTGAATGGCTCACCCGCGCGTTTAAGAGGATGCCAGTGCGTTGTTGTACCTATCTATGTATAAAATTCTCGTGTCATGGTGTGCGCGAGGAGTTCGATTACTCCTCCGAAACAGCTCGACCGATTTTCGTGAAATTTTATATGCATATTGAGTAGGTCTGAGAATCGGACAACAACTATTTTTCATCCCCCTAAATGTTAAGGGTGGTCCACGATATTTTTTTTGGAAAAAAAAATGTTTTTATTTTTTTATGATACATCATACAAAAATACATACAACCCAAAATTTTCACCCTTCTACCATCCATATTTTTATGGCGATACGAAGTTCGCTGGCTCAGCTAGTATGCCTATAAAAATAATATCCGCGCGACCACCATCCGCCGCTCGGGCGTAAAGGCGCTGCACCACGACCTGTGTTGTTGAGGACGAGGCCGCGCCGCGCAGGTTTGTCAACCGTATGAGAACTCTAATGTTTGAGATTTAGCAGTCATGATACGAGGTAAATAGAAATCTAGTACAGTTTGATATGAGATTTGAACAACGATGACTATTCGTGTCATGTACACAAACCAAAAATATTATAGAAAGTAAATAAATGTGCAGTCCACAAAGGATCGACTCAGTAACTGCAGATTCACTATGCCACCACAAAGTGTACGAGATTTCTATTTACCTCGTATCATGTATAGAGACTGCTAAATCTCGAACGTTAGAGTTCTCATACGTTTGGCAACCATGCCCACAGGCTGTGGGACAAAGCCTTTATGCAACTTATACAGAAGGGCGGAAGTAGATAGTTACTTTAATTATGATCGGCAGTGCTATTCTGTAAGAACAAACAAACATTGACCATCGGAATCTGCGGTTGATTTAAAATTAAAACACGCATTTTAAATCACACCGGCCGGCGATTTGGTCAATAGGGGAAACTCCAAGGCCGTAAAATTTATATATTAAAAAAAACACTGGCAATTTCGCGGTAAAATGTCCGTCTGTTCTTACAAAATAGCATCACTGATCTGAAACTATGGAATATACCTATTATGTTGTATTGTTCATTTGTCATGGTGAACAAATAGCTTTATACTTGTATAAAGTTTTTACGGTAGAGCAACATTTTCAATGCTTCCTTTTAGCAAACAAATCCTTTACTTTCAATTTGTTGCCTTCAAAAACCATGAATTTTTCTTCGGAAAAGTTTGTGAAACAGACGGTTAAAATCACCGGGGATAATAAACCAAAACGTAAGTATACCTATAATACAAATTTTATACAATACACATAAAAACATAAGTCTTAACAGGCAGACAATTCGATTTATCCTATTGGTCCCATAACACATCGCTATTTTGGTAGACGAAAAATTCGAATAATTTACATTAAAATCCCATTAAATCTCATGATTAAACAAGACGAGTAAATCATGTGTAAGAATAAAAATAATATACTGACAAATGACAACCTCTTCATTTTAGAAGTCTCTTAATAAATGAAGTATCCCGATCTTTTTTTTTTGAGGAGGAAACAACAAGGTCAACCAATTAAATATAAATTGAACGCAAAAAAAACGAATGACTATTCATTGAAATTAAATTAAATATCCTTTTTTCTGTCTCTTGGGATTTTACCATTTTTTGTCTTATATAAGTAGAAAATATACGAAATTATTTTAAATTGTGCAGTCGCGTAGGCCAAGTTACAAGTACATACAGCTTTGAGTACGGACGGTATTTATTTATCGTGAGCAGCAAAAATGTAAATCACGGCATCAAAATCGAATTTTATTTAATTTAATTTAAAGCAAAATTATTAAAGTTGTATTTTATCTCAGTTTAATCCGAAAAAATAGGAACATGACGAAGTCCAACCAATTAGTAGGATGATTTGTTCGAACTCGTTCGGATCGCGGATAGCGTCTCTTTGCGCGCACATTTCTAGCAAGGTGACGGCGAAGGATATTATTAATTTATTACTATGGTATTACGCCAATCTCCTGTCTCCAGTCTGTAGAACTCAGACTGGAGAACAAAGGGTAGAGATAGAGAAAACGGAAGGGAGCTGGGAGAGGCCTACGCCAAAGAAGTGACTCACAAACGATGTAACTTTTTAAATTTACTTAAATTTTGCATGATGATTTTTTGATAGAATTAAGACTTGTCCTTATTATTATTTTTATTATGCCAATCTATAGCTACGCCAATGGTTTTGTGATGTGACAATAATTATTATTTGGATGGCGTAACCAGACTTTATCTGCCAATACTTAACTATATATGACGTAAGTACCAACCATGTATGGTAAGTATTAATGTAATACGTATTTGACATTTAAAGGTGTATAAATTAAGTAACATTTTAAGTATTCTTAATAATTACGTTTAGGTTTCAGATATTATTTTTTACATATGCATTTGGCATGCAACGATAAGTAGTAATCTAAAATTATTCGCTTTATATGACCTTGTACAAAATATTGATATTCTACAAAATAGGTCAAATATCAAAACATTTATGTTGCTTTGGCATAATTAGAATCTTTGTAGCATTTCGGATTAATTAGTTTATTTGCATGGAAATACAAATAGTACATAAATTAGCTACTTACAGATTCTAGAAAATTTCATTTTAATGTTTTTTGTTATTCATAAAAATATACTTATACCATTTTCATGAAAAGTAACAAAATAATTAAGTTGTTGGATTTATTTTATATTTTAATTAGTTATCTATATCATGCTACTTATTTTGCCAAGACACAATGTTCAATATAAAAAATTGTCATATATTGCTAATAAATACTATCTTCACAAAATAATTAATAAATTAATTGTTTCTACGGCGGATCCTCTTTAAAGAAACAAGCTGCCGTTGTATTGTAGTACGCATAAAAAATAATTATGCAAATATGTAGGTAATTACTCAGTAGTAACTGATATTAATTTATTAATAATTATAATAGATATTTCTTTAATATTCTAGTGTGCAAAAAATTTAATACTCAAAGTAAGAAATTGAATACTGTGAAATACATTAACTGTTAAAATTTTGAATTATTTTCGTATCCTATTAGGTGGATATCTGATGAATGAATCTTAACTGCGAGTAGTTTTCAAACTGTATAAACAATTAATTTCATTTGTCTACTCTTTCAATGATCCCGAAAATTATATAAACGATTACATTCGCCAAAATGTATTAGGTGCCCGTAAAGTAAAAATTTAAGTAACAACGTAAGTACTGATCTGAACTGATAATAAATTCTCCATGTTAGAAAGCTGATTCATGTAAAAATATTGCCGACGTAGGTATCTTTGCTTTTATTATTTTGGCAACATATTTTTTTTTTAAATAATCGGACATACCAATAACATTTTCCAGTTCTTTGATATCATAATGACAAAGTTTATTTTTGCGTGAATGTTTATTGTTTATGTAATTTGGGTAAACGTGAATTTGAAAATTTTGTTTACCTTTCATTAGTGTGATGTTTTGTTAGTTCTTTGAATATAAACTATTCGGAACAGGTTGTTGCTTATTATGCACTCATCGAAAAAAAACTACATTACAATCCGAATGAGATTCTTGTGTAACGGGAAAACAAAGTTATAAAAATACTCATAATGAGGAAATATCACGGTGTGTAAATTTACATATACCGGAGATGTGTCTAAGCTTATTATTAAATTTGCGACTTCTTAATAATTCATCATCACTGTGGGTTTTTCAAGAAATTCAAAAATCTAATTTTATATAGTTTGACTATTGTAGATTTTTGTAGGGCAGAAAAATGAAAAAAGAAGACTCGCGCTTATTGTTTCATCAAATTATTCTTAGTTTGTAACTTAATTAAAACAACTACCTCGACGATATTTGTTTTCAACGTTTGATTGGTCTTCCGTGAAATTTTCTATTTCCGCGTGACTCGGAGTAATTATGAAGTGGAGCAAATTTGCACACGTGTCGAAATCAACGTGACTATTGAAATGCCTTAGTATTTGAGTCGTCATCATCTCCAATTCTTTTTCTACTATAGAATAGAGGATCCTTAATCTAGTCTCACAAATTGTCTTTTGTTATCCTGCTTTGTCTTCTCGACAGTTTCTCTGCTTCTTCGATGGTGTCAGGCAGTCTCATGTTCATTGTTTCGGGCAGTAAGAAGACCAGAGAGTTTGATAGTATGCACATCACACCAAATATCACAGTTGGCATTGACTTGTGGTAAGAAGACTGTAAGAAAAATAACAAAACGGATGTTTTAATCGAGTGTATTCGATGTCCCGGGCACATGTGAAAGATTGATTGCCAAATTATGTTTTGTCGGATTCCTCGAGGTTCTCTTAAAGCTGCAGTCGTTAGCGTCCACCTTTCATCTGAGGTTGCTGGTAGATTACCGGGTATCTCTAATTTGATTGTTAAAAATCGGGATATTAATTTATTAATCGTATTTTAGATTTCGTAATTCCAGAATGTCTAATATAAAAAAGTATTTCGAATTAAATTATAGGCGGGGCCAAAATAAAGGTAATTTAAGGTAATTCTTTGGCATAACTTAGGAACACAAAACATTATGGTTTTGTGTCTCTCTCTTATATCATAATACTTACCAGTAGTGGAGTGAGCGGAGCGACTAGAGAGCCTATTCTTCCAGCAGTGGAACAAAAACTAATCAAAGTCTGCCTCATGTTAGTGGGGAAGACCTCGGACACGTAGATGTAGACGGAGCTGTAGGCCAACGTGACACTCCACTTGCCTATCAGGTACAGCGGGATAGACCACCAGTCAGCTGTGAGCATAAGAAGAGCATAAAAATGGACTCCTGAATAAAAAAAAATGTTGACAGGATTGCGATCACAATATTGCAGAAATGTTAGCATAATGTTATAATTTCACAAGTACGAGTATTTCCATCTTTATTAATAGGTAATATATTAGTATTAAAAATAATTATAATAATTTTTATTTCAGATTTGATTAATTTCATAAATTCAATCCAAACGTTTCAAAATTAAATTAAGATGTAAAAATTATGAAGAAAAAGAAATATGTCTTTTTTAATTTATGAATCTTACAGGCAGACTCTGTTTGAGTATATGTGAATATTCAACCCAATTTGTAATGACTAAGAGTAAAATTGTTGAGCGATATTTATCGAATACTTTAGATCTGACTAAAACCTCGCTATTTATCTGAAGGTTTAAATTACAGTCGATAAGGTTGACAAAAATATGCCCTTTTGACAGCTTATTGAGCATAAGTTTATGTACGTTTCGAATCTAAATGAAAAAGTAATTGAATGTATTCACAGATTTATCGCGAACAGTCTTTCCAACGGCAATCCCTTAATAAAATAGTCAACTAGCGTTTCTCAGAAACAGAATTTATAATAAATTAAAAACAGTTAGGCTAAGTCTAAGGACTCACGGAGCGGTTTTTACCAGCAGCACCCGGCGCGGGCGACCACAGAGCTATTTTATTTCAAAACTCATAAGACCGCAGAGCTCCGATACCGGGCGAAGCACGCCGTGGCTGCGGGTGGCGCGCCCTTAGAAGGTGCCGCAAACAAACCACGGGCTCCACGGGCGTGACGCATCATGAAGTTTGCAATTGTATTACCTATAGAGGGGGAGCCCAAGCGGGCATTTTTGGATTAACACGAGCGCGGCAGAATAACGTATGGGGAGCAACCTTGCACGTAGTTAAGTACACCCACTATACCTGAGCCATCTATGTAGGGCCGAACGTCTAGGGCAACAAAAACAAAATTTCAACAAACGGCCATGATTTGGTCGGGTCCAAATCGTCAGTCTTTTGAATAGGAGCTACTGGAGGGTTCACGTAACATCCCTTCTCAATGTCTGACGCGCTCGGTTATTTTTTGCTATATTCTACCCCTTCGTACGGCCACCTCCATATCATGCAAACGGTTACATTACAAAAAGGTACATGAACCCTCTAGTAGCTTTTATTCAAAAGACTGACGATTTGGGCACGACCAAAAGTCATGACCGTTCATTGAAAATTTGTTTTTGCTGCCCTAGACGTTCGGCCCTACATAGAGGGCTCAGGTATGGTGGGAGTACTTAACTAGGTGCAAGGTTGCTCCCCATATGTTATTCTGCCGCGCTCGAGTAAATCCGAAAATCCCCGCTTTTTTTTTCGCAGCCGCGGCGGGAGCGGACAAAAACCGCTTCATGAGTTCTTAGCCTACGCGGTGCAGTACTTATTGAATAAACTTACATTTGTAGAAACTTCACATTAAAACTTAATACTTTAAGAGGTATGTATAAAGTTAGGTCTTGTTTAATTTAATACTCAATCATGGACATAGTTGTTAATTAGTAAGTCCTTTTAGTTACACTAATAATGTTGTTAAATATTTAAAAAAGTAAAGGTTATCATAATATTCGAAATAAAGAAATCATTAAGGGACGTACACTTGGGATTTTTTTGTTTTTTAAAATGGTTAACGATTCTTTTCGGTAGGGACATCCTTCCTGACCTTGGTAATTTCATTGTTAGATAATAGTTACACGTTTCGTATAGTAAACAAACACGTGTTCTACGCGGTGGCGTTGACACGCAAATGTTGTGAGCAAACAGTTAACAAGGACTCATTTTATTAATGGGTGAGCTAACATAATTAAACTTGTGTGTGGATGTTCAAGTTATTCATAAATTAAGCGCGCTCTATTATGATTTATAAAAAAAAATATCATATTTTTTAGCACATCATTTTCCTAACTGCTTTAAAATTTTATATCTTATTCTTATGTTAAATTATATATACTTGAATTAGATTTTAGCTTATTTGGTATTATCATAAATCAAAAAAGATACACCCAACTCCTATTTTGACAGGGGAAGATTATCACGATAATTTATTCAAACTATAACAAGCCAAATCTTAGGCGGAGGAATAAAATAGAAACATAACGTATAAAGGTTAAAATACTGCCGAAAAGTCGGATAATGCATTGACTTATAGTTGAAAATCTAAGAAGATCTCATTCTAACTAACATTTAGATAAGGAATAACATATACTCACATCGCGGCAAGAACGCGAATAGCAAGCAGGTCACAGCGCACGTCATGTATGTCGCTATGAGCGTTCTCTTTCTCCCATACTTGTCCAACACTAACACAGCCACTATATACGCCGGTATCTCCACCAACACAACCAACATGAAACTCACATACTTGTTACTGCTCAACGACACTGAGTTTATAGATAGCCCGTAATACACCAACGAGCATGTCATCCACAAAAATGAGCATATCATCAACCTCCTCCATATGATTCCCGATCGCACTGCTTTGTATAACTGCGATTTTTTATCCACAGTCAGATTTTCTGGCTTCAAAAGCGGATTCGCTAAGTTGTCCAGTTCTAGCATTCTCGGATCGAGTTTGTTTATCTTAGCAGCCTTTTTCAATACTTCTACCGCTTCGTCTCTTCTGCCTTTGCTGAGCAGCCATCTTCCGCTCTCGTTCATGAACCAAATGTATAGGAGGACGACCAATGCTGGGCTGTAGAGGATCATGACGTAGATGCGCCAGTTCTCAACGAACCATGCCAGCAAGCCGATGAGAACTACTCCGATCACGAACGTCATATTGCACATCGCTGATACGATGACCCTCTGTTTCAAACCGACAAGTTCGACAACTGAAAAAATAGGCGAAATTCGTCGAATCATTAAGTTAAATCTATGTTGCTCTAGTGTTTTTTTTTTATATAAGTGAAGTCAAATTATCGGTTCAGTCTTAAATTGAATAAATATGTATCACAGTACTACATATAAAACTGGAGATTACCAAGAAAACAAATTAGGTGCCTGTAATTATTTAGTTTCGAGAATCAGGTAAATGCTAGCAACTATTAGACATTACTTTTTAGCGCAATTTTATACTTAACAGGAAAGTAACTTATAATGAAAACAAAAGCAAAATTTGTAAATTACTTACTCAAAACGTACGCTGATGGGTACAGACCGCCACCCAAGGCAGCCTCGAAGAAATGTAGAATGACGTACGTTACATAGCTGTCAGAAAACGCTCTCGAAAATCCAAATATGAAGCTGGTAATGCACGCGAAGCCAACGGCTACTTTCCTCCCGTATCGGTCCGAAATGGCTCCAGTAAAAAGCATTGCCACAAACATCCCGCTGTTGTGGATCGTACCAACTAATGTTCTCATCCAGTCATTGCAGCCGAGATTGAACTAAAAGATAAAGATATAATTCAGAAAGATGGAGAAGAAGGTATTCTGTAGCTTACAGAAGATAAAAAAATAATAATTCAGAATTTGCACGAATGTTGTGGTTTTTAGTGGGCAAGTGTAAGGATTAAAACAAAGTTAGAGTAGTTAAAAAAGAAAATCAAATAAGTTAGCATGTAAGATTACCAATACTTAAATATTGGGGATAGATAGTGGTTATTGCTTATAGAACAATTTTATTTAAAGAAATAAACTACATAAAATATAAAAATAACCTGGAAAAACAGTATGAGGAAATATTCAGAATAATAGATTAAGAGCCCAACTTGAGGAAATAGGTAGTAATGAATGATTTCAAAAGGGCATTGTAAACATCAACGAAATAAATGTTAGAAATACATAAATGTACACACCTCTTCGACAAAAGACTTCGATTCCTCATAAACAAAACTTTTACAAGGGATAGTTTCATTGGTAAAGTCTTCTGGCATGCACTGCATGCTGGTGCTCGAGTTGTGGACCGGCACAAACATCCTGCACGAGTCAAGCTTTTCCTTCTCATGGTTGTAAGGTATCGCGTACTGAAGCCAGAAAGAGTCATTGAACCTTTGCTCACATCCGTAGACTTCACATCTAGCAAATGAAAGAATAGTTAGTTTTATGCTCATTACTTATTCAGGTACTTTTTGGTTATCAATCGTGTAATTTAGCTTACATGCTTTCTCAGTCACACACATTTCTTTCAAGAATTAGGGCGTGCGCACCGTTAAGCAGGGCACGGCGGAGCACGGACCGGATCTCCGTGACGGACGCCCGCTCCGTGCCCCGCTTAACGATGCGCGCGCTCTTAATCTTTAGTTTCGTAATTTGGGCGCTGATGCCTGTGACACAGTCTTCGAAACTTAGGCCCACATTATCAACCTGCTGATATAACAAGGAAGAATACTTAGTGTTAGAGGATCACGAGTAATTAAAATTAATCACGGTCCCGGTAATAGGTCGATTTACCGGGACCACGGGTAAACACTACTAATAAATAAAATGTGCTTATGATAAGGGTTACTATTATAGTTAAAATTATTTTTGAATAAAACAATTTTCAACGCTATAAATGCACTAATTTATTTATTTATTGAATTTGATTCAGACGTCTACATTTACGTTTACCAAATTATGTACATTGTTACCGATATGTTATAAAAACGGGTTTAAACAATCAAAATATCTATGCGTGACGGTTATGTGACTTCAGGGCTTATTCCATAATTCATATCCCAAAACCTATCCCAAATTTTGACTTCAATTTTATCATACAGAAAAGCGTACAGAAATTTCATTCACTTTAGATTGTTTATAGATATTACTAGCTCCAACCACAATTCGCTCATTTATCGGAAATGTTTATCAGAATTGTTCTGATTGGGGATGAGCTACGATTGACAGATTGCTATCCGTCTGATCACACCAATATAGTTCCATCGATATGGACGGCCCCAACTGCAATGTCGATAAATCTAATCGCGTGTCGGATCAATAAGGCGTATGGCGATTGTCGCTTGATAAGTTTACTTTGTTATTTTTGAAGTGAAAACTTGTTTTGGCACTTTGGAACGGGGGAAAAAACTGAACTCGCCTGACCACTTAAATACAAGTACAAAGATGACTGTGTTATTCAATTTTATGGATTTTTTTATTTGTTCGGTTCGTAAGTTTCGAGTACGTTGATGCACTAAATAAAAACTAATTATTATTAAATTAAATGAAAACATGTTTAGACACTGTATATATACAAAAATTAAAAATCGTCTCCAAAACGAAAATGGTACTACTTAAAACAGTAATAAATATATTATTTGGTTCACACGAAGTCGGGCGGATCCTAGTATGATTTGGAAGTCGGGCGGGGTCAAGATTGAAACACGTATAGACCGATTAGAAATAAAAATCTATTCTATGTTTTCTACTTTTTAGTTCTATTTTCGTTTTGAAGTCCGTTTTATATTTTATTTTATATTTTTATTTAAGACCAATATTTTAAAACTATCTTTTGACGTTTCATATCTGCCAGGCTTACGCGATGGGTGATTTTTTCAAAGTCAACTCTAAAGTTGTTGCGGAACTCTGAAAAGCGAATGTCATTTGTTCCCCCTAATGGCGCAGTCGTCCGGCTGTGACATGCATCGAGCAGTTAGTTTATTGGACGCTGTATGCTGTGGCGTTCAAATCACACATGTCCCTGGCAATTTCGAAACACCCGTTTTGATATTGAAATTGCATATACATGTTGATACTTTCGGATATTCGTGGCGTTGCTCTCGCAGAACAGTGTTTTACGATCCAATGCGAAAGCTTTTTTGTGACTGGGCCAACATTCAAAATGAATATTGCACAGGTCTATTATTATTAAAGTATGATAGTGCTAGGATGTCCAGTTTACCAATAGGGTTTCCAAATTGTGTTGAGTTTTATTATATTAAGACAGGTAGAGCGAAGTGGATTTCCCCCTTTATATGAAACGCCCGTCTGGGGAAGGAACCTCCACTTTATCACAGTGAAATCATATGTACTATTTTTTGGTGATTTTCACTTATGTCGATAAGTAAGATGCTATGACCCAACATAGTAGGGTAGACATCACCGCAAGTGGTACTGTAGTAAAGCAAGCCTTTTTTTTGAGTGTGTATGCTGTTGGTCGCAGATGACCTTTACAGCGTCACCGCGTTTAGGGACGGCGAGATCCTAAGGGGACCTCAAGCCGAGAATTGGCGAGTGCCACTAGAGGTATTCCAGGCGGATGGCATCTCCCCACGGGGGTCTCCTCTCCATGGGCCATTACGCTTGTTTGTCACCCTGTTTACGTATATAAAACGTTCTAATATCACCGCTGTGGGGTTATAACAGCGAAAAGTTTATTTGGTTCTCACAATCGCAGACTGAACGGGTTTATTATATTTATCAGTACACCACCAAGCTACTACATGTCTTAATACTAAAATATATTGTATTAATAGTCTTAAAATGATATATTTGGTAAATTAAGAAGCAACAAAAATAAACAAATTAAAATATATAGTGCGACATCGACAGTCGAAGACACACATTCTATACATCAAAATAATCAACTTCGTTTTTTTAAGTCGAGATATTTTGAGTGCTTTTTTTAAAAGGCTATATTTTGTGAGGAAATACTTGAATTTTTATAATATTTATTTGGACCATGTTTGGATAGAAATAATGATTAAAATTAGTTTCCATAAAAACCTTGTTTTTTTTACTTTGACTTTCTATAGCTTAATTGCTGAATCTTTTCCAACTAAAACTATATCTATCCCATAGAAAAATGTCAATAATGTCAAAACGTCAATTTGACATTATTGTATGGGCTAAATCTGGTTTATGTCAAAATTCCTCCAAGTGGGCCTAAAAGACAAAAACGATGAGTTTCGGTTGTGTTGAAGTTCTTTTTACAACCTGTATGGAATTTTACATGCAAGCGCACAAGTACGATGAAGATCAAAAACTCAGGTTTTATATCCCCGTACTTATCATTTTCCGTTAAGAATCCGTAAAGCGATCAGTGAAAACAATAATGGATACACTCTAACTACGACCAAACTTCGCCTGGCAGATTCTAAATCGACACAAATCGCTTTAAAACACACTCGCCTGTAAGCCTGCTCCCTCGCCTCAAAAATGAAGCCGCACTCGAAGAAACTACTCAAAAGTATTGGGTAAAGCAGCAGCACGAAATTCAGCAGATTGTACCGCCCGTACGGGCCGAGGCTCTCTAGCACCGAGTCCAAATTGATTTCTTTCTTGCCGTCCTCCATCGCCCCGCGACGATTCTCGGCTCTCCCTGCAAATGGATTGGAAAGTTTAAGTGCACACTGCACATCAACATTTTTTTTTCTGTAAGATCGTTGAAAGAAACGCTTTGCTCACGAGTTTCGTTGTTAGGAATCTGTAAACTCAACTATTGATCTTAGTTTAGCTGATTTTTTGTTTATTCTTAATTCAACAATGATCTAATTATATGTACATAGTAAATCTGTCAAAATTTGATAAATAGTCTTTTTTTCTCTAGAGCATATTTTAACTATAGTCAAATTTAACTATAGATGAAACAACGCGGCCTTTAGATGGTGCATGAAATAAATGTGACCCAGATTCATTACTCTTGAATAATGTATCGGTATTCGATGGTGTCGATTTGTTTGCGCATTTATATGTTTTTGACAGTGCTCCCAACTTTGTAAGAGTATTGGTTTCCCACTTAAACACCCCCGTCTCTAGTTTTATTTTCCCCACAAAAAATAGATTTTTCGTTCTTTGCCGTCCCCATTATTTTTATAACAAAATCTAGGAAAATCGGCTCAGCGGGTTAGCCATGACAACGTAACAGATAGACGAGAGCTACTACTACTCTAACAATAATAACAATAATTCTAGACTTCGTCTGAATTTCGACAGCATGGATTTTATAAATAAAATTTTCCTCGGGATAACTTGAATAGAGATGAAATTAACACAAACATGTACCGGAGTAGACCAGCTTATACTATATGTATTTAGTTTTTTATTTGAAAATCCAAAATGTTTTTTTTTGACAAAATAGATTATATCTGTCTCAATACAAGTTACAAACTGTTTGTGTTATAAATTTAATTCAAATCTGTTGAACCATCTTTGCGTGTTTGTATAATATACACCTGAATAATTTTATTCGATTAAATATTTTGACCCTCACTTGCATTTATATATTTGAAGCCTGTAAGTTTATTAAAAAACATTATGAATTATACTCACCTGTGAAAAAAGTTAGACGCAATAATCGATACCAAAATAAACTTAAATTACCTAATACGACATTAAAGATGTATTCATCTGCTCCGCATGCAATGTTAATAAAAATATACAACCATCTACCAAATAGTTTAAAATTTATAACTGAAAATAAAATATTTGAAAAACAGCTTAAAAATTTTCTAATAAATAAAAGTTACTATAATATTTCTGAATATTTTAATGACAATTTTTTATAATATAATAAATATTAATAATAATGTAACAAATTAATAATAATATAATTAATACTTGAATAAAATTCTAGTTAATATAATAGTTGTACACTCTAATAATATCTAAATGTTATCATATATTTGGAATCATTATATTTTTGTTTTTTTTTTCTAGTAAAAATAATAATAATAATTACTTTACAATTATAAATCTAGCAGTTAAATGCTTAAAATAAATTTAAACGTTCTTGTTCAACGGATATAATTGTATTAAATATTATTATTAATTATGTTTATGTATAAATAAATTGCAAACACCCTTGCAGGGTGTCACATGTACTATTATAATATATTTCTAAATTGTCATCTTTTAACCATGTGACTATGCAATAAAGAATTTGAATTTGAATATACAAAACTCTCATATTTATAATGTTGAATAGTCGAAATATAAAGAGCAAAGAATATGAACTTAAAATAGAAGTTTTTCTGTTTTGAGTTGGTGTAATTAATGATTCATGCGATGCAATAAAAAAATATGACCTTAAAGATGATTAAGCGACTGACTCGTTAAGTGTACTGCAAGATCATCGAAAAGCACTAAACAAATGAACATTGTGACAAGACGTGACGTAGGTAGTGTGACGTCACTCCACGAACTAATAACATGATACATGAAAAAAATATATGTATAAAAAATGCATACTAGAACTCGGGTTCCCACATCCAAGTCTATCTAAGTTGTTCTATTGAAAAACTTTTGCTGAATTAGTTGCTAAGTCAGGAAGAATATATTGTTTTATAGATAATAACTAAAGTTAAATAACCTCTCTCAAAAGTCAAGCACTTCAGTTACAAATCTAAATAAACAGATGTATTGCTACTACTAAAGCAGTGTCTATAATCAGACAGGCGATATAACTTGGCAGGCAAAATTTTCCTTTAGTTTTAGAGCGTTTACACACTATCCGGTCCGATATAGATATCGGACGCCGATTCATCGGACCCCGATATCTCGGCAAGTAAAATGTATGAATTATGTCCTGTTTTATTGTCCAGCCCGATATCGGATATCGTGACTGACACCGATATGTCGGCGGCACCATCGTACGCCCGTGAGCTATAGGACGCTGAAGTTTGTAATGTGTGCTATACTGCCTTCCTAGTGAAGAATGCAGAAACCGACGTTTTTTCTAGAAATTAGGTAATTATTTAATAAACTTATCCGTATAAAACCAAAAATTCTTTCAACTGAATATCCCCAAATGTTTATAGACTATTATAGGCAAAAATAAGTTATAAAGGTCCACAAGAGTGAAGTCGGAAGAGATTTCAACTTATTTTTGGCTATAATAGCTACACGTTCTTGGATATTCAGTTAAAAGAATTTTTGGTTTTTTTATGGATATTTTTAAGAAATAATTAACTCATTTCTTGAAGATACGTCGGTTTCTGCATTCTTCACTAGGACTGCAGTATAGCACACATTACAAACTTTATCGTTTGATAACTCACAGGCGTCCATTGGTGCCGGGGAAATATGCCCGATACGGGCCGGACTATGTGAAAGACAGAACAAAATTCATATATTTTACTTGCCCCGATATCAGCGTCCGATACGGACCGGACAATGTTTAAACGCTCTTAAACTTTAAAATTTATTAAGCAGTCCGAGAGTGATCAAGTAAAAAGAGATATTATGTATGATTTTTTAAAATTTCTAATGCCTAATTCGAATGCGAAGATTTTCTTACCAATTTATGGAGGAAACTTTTGTTGGTGCCTGAGGTCAGAAGCTCAAACCCTGCGAACAAAGATATTTATTGTTAATAATACTTTTTAATAATTTGCTTTTTAAACACTTGATTGTAACTAGTTTATATTATCAGATTCATGTTGTAAGGGGAGCGAAAGATCAAAGTGTAGTGTAACGCCTTCACTACGTGACACGGAGGCAGAAAAAATCTGTCATTTCAAATATGATTGTTCTGAAAATATCAACTTCGTTTCTACTGATTTAAGTAATAAGCGAATTTCTTATTCAATGTTATGCAATGGTTGTAATATTATGGTGGGTTAGGAATCAAATTGGCTGACAGTATCTTGTTTTATGGGATTCCCCGATATATAGGTACTGTTTCAAGTGCCACGATCAGGAAGTAACTGATCCTTCTAACTTATTGCTATAAATAAAGTTACCATGGAAGTATAAATCTAAAAATAAACACACACACATTCGCCATCTGCTTAATATCCCAACAAGCTGGTAGTTAAAGCTATACTCCTATCCGTTGGGTTGGCAACTTGTCACTATAATTTCTGGAGACGACTTGACCTTGACCTAACATTTGCAAAATGTGGTGTTGTTGAGGCGTGACCGTAAGTGAATTTAAATTTATGTACATCTCTTTAATAATCACTAAACATCTTATAAATTATTTTCCTATAAACGCGTAGCATAAAGAAAATTTATTTTGATTTAGAGAGCATTGATAACAAATAGAGAGTCGTCCGTTGCTCTGTGTTACAACCACTCATAAAACAAATCGGATCTTTAAAGTTTGAATAAAAATATATGATTGGTTCTATACAAATTTGTTGGTGACCAAATGAATATGTCAGACAACTCAGGATCCCTTTTGATTTGTCTTCGGACATTTTTCTCAATAAGGGTTTTTCTACTCGGTTTAATATTATTAAAGGAAGGCAAAGAGTATCAACGTTGACTTTAAAATTATTATTAAAAGTATCAGTATAGGTACAGTATCACTAGGTACTCTTTGCTATTTTATAATTAGCATTGCTCGTCAGCAGTATCGTATGCTTACAGAATAATAGATGACAAAATTCCAATTATCATACTACATACCTATATTAGCATATCACTATGTATAAATGAGGGCCTCAATTTTGACACAGGTACTTTATAAGTAGAGAGATTTAGAGTGAAGCTGCACCCTGACCACAGACTGTCCTGTCTTTTTCAAATGTTATCCCAACCACAGGCTGTCCTGTTTTTTTCATATGTTATGAATAATAAATGTAATAACCTTTACATTTAATATTCATAACATATTTACAAACTTTAACTTGATTATACAAATAAATCATCAATCAAGTCATCATATATTTTATATGTCGAATCGAATGATAAATATTTAGTTTGTAAAAAAACTACTTCAGAAACCAGTAACTTGTTTATTCCTTTTCGAATTAGCAGGTCTTATAATAATAATTACAAACGACAGATCCGACCACTTCGATGGTTATGAGCAGAATGGCCTTAATTACCCCCTCTCCACTCTCATCGCACCGGCGCGGCGGCGCTGCGGCGTGATTCCGTCGGCCGTACTTCTATGCGCCATTTGACATTTCCAGTTTTAATTAATTCGAATACAATAAACTACTTTAAATCTTATAAAAATAAGATTTAATGTTAAAATTATGACATAAACAATTGAACCTAATAAGTTTAAGTTATGTTTTTTTAAGCATTTAACTCCACGATGTTTAAATCGAAAGAAAAGTTTTACTAGAAAATTTGTTTTTTTTATTTTTTTCTAGTAAAACTTTTCTTTAGATTTTTTCTTGTTAAACTTTTCTTAAGTTTAAGTTGGACTAATGCAAACTAGGGGTTATTTAAATCTTATTTTCACGTATAGAAAGTTGAAGAAATGTATATGTATGATATATTATAATAGGTACCTAATCTCTTCCTCATCTATAAAATGGAAGCGACCGCAAAAGAAGAAAACGTTAACTATAAAATATTGTCAAGAATAAAAAAAATGTTCTTATGTTATGTGGATATTTCTTTTACTGTTTAATCATCTAAGTACCTTTCTATATTAATATACTAGCACATTACACATTAATACCATTGAACTAAACGCCTGAGATAAAAGTTGATGTTTCATAGCTGCATCGTTACTAATAGCCAATTTAGTATATTTGCATAGATTGATAACCTTGACGCCAGTGAGTTGCTTGGCGCCGACTTTTTCCCTGTTAGTTTAATAAACAATTATAATGTACGTTTGTTTATCGTATAAAAGATTTTTTTTAATGCTTAATAGGCAAGGCGTTTGATCACAATCTCGCCTGATGGAAAGCGATGAAGAGGCCTAGGATGGTACACGCCTGCCTAGAAGATGCCTGTTCACTCTGGCCTTGAAGATGTCCAGATTATATTGGTCCGGGAAAACAGACCTCGGCAAGGAGTTTCACCCCCTAGCCGTTTGCATAATGAAAGCGGAAGCAAATCGCTTTGTGCGAATGGGAGGAACTTCGACAACATAAGGATGAAAGCTGGCCTGGTCGTCCGGTGGTGGAAAGGGGAAGGGAGGATCAAATTATGTTATTACATAACATAAACCTCCGCACACTCTCCGAAATGTAACCGATAAAACACCAAGAGTCAAGCTACGCGTCTTCGGTGGTCCAGGCTCTGGAGATTAGCCTCAACGAGAACGTCATTGCCTATGAGTCTCTTCGCACGGTGTAGCTATATATTGACTTCACCGGCGGGGCCGCGGAGTACTTTGTTCCCGCGGTTTCAACCCGCACTCCCAACACGCATTAGGTGGACCTCAGTCTTCATAGTGCGTGTCGGGTGATCGGTGCAGGAGTATTATCTGGTTTTTACTGGGTAGGGCCCTACTCTTCTAGCGACAACAGACCATCGCTGCAACCTACCGGACGATACTAGAGAGCTGTTAAGGGCAAACAACGCCGCCACTAGGGCATTCTAATTCTACCTCACGAACGACAACCGCTCCCGATTGCGTACCTTGCAGCGTGCTGTTAAGGAAATGCGGGCGTCTAAGTGGGATGAACCACTTGAAGAGATTTCGCCATCACACCAAGCTTATTGGAAGCTGTTTAAGTCAGAGGTCGAATCCTCTATGCCTTCCCTGACCAAACCTGACCGATCGATCGCGTTTAACGACGACGAAAAGGCCGAATGCCTGACCGACAGCCTGGAGGAGGAGTGCTCGCCTAGCACTCTCCCTGTCCTTCTGGAACACGTCCAGTTAGTCGACTCGGAAGTCGAAAAGTCCTCCTCCGTACCCTCCGGATCTCGCCGTCTCGATAACCGGTGACGCTGTTAAGGTCATCTGCGACCAACAGCATACACTCAAAAAAAAAAAACAAAAAAAAGGACTCTTTCATCGAGCCTTTTGGGCTGGATAAAATGGGTAGGGAGGAGTCTCCAGATACCCTGTTTGCGCTACTCCCGGTGGTTCAGGGAGGCATAACGCCTTTTCCAGATATATAAAAAAGGTATACATTAATCTATGACTACACAATTCTCACCCCATAGATTCTTAAAAGCCTTAATTCAACAACAAATACTTAAATGACATTTAAAAGTACTAATTTTTGGTTTTAGTCTTCTGTAACGTGGAGTTTACTTCTTAAAAACGGCACTGGTGTCTATTTTGAGAAATCCGCAGTCTTCTACCTCTTTTCGCCATTTTGGCAACAAATACGGGTGTAGGGTTGTAATGGTTACGAAATTTCTTGGATTTTTTTATTCCCATTAGAATACCGCGGACAAAGTTTCAAGTCAAAGGTTTCTAACATGTCGCCCCTAAAAACAAAGGAGATAACTACAAGATAAATAGAAACCCATGAACAAAGTGTTATATTGCAACACTATTTTGTTGACAACAATGTATATCATCGAAAACCGCCTATTACTCTCTTAGCATTCGGAATTTTAATTATCTCAGCGTCGCCTAGGTGTGTGTTCATTGTGATCGGCCGGCATCACCGATATGAATATTAACTAGCTCCCGGTTCACAATACACAATAACGTTTCGTGTTGTAACCCCAATGTTGTCATTGAGAATGACAAAATTAGAAGACAAATCGACCACTGTTTGACATCAATAAGTTATTTAATAGAAGAGTGCATGTTGTTGTAATTTGAATCAATAAAAATGACTAACTCACTTCTGTACATTTAAGATGTTGATCAAATAGATTATGTCGGATCGAGTAGCCGAAATCGGACAGGCTCGTAATTTTGTACCATTTTAAAATCTACCAAACCGTAATTTGTCATTTTGAATTAACAACACTAAATTAGCAAAATTATATTCTCAAAAAACTACAGTACAGTCTGTGCGGAAAGAGAATGGGATTTTGATTGGAGGGCGCTGTAGTGCTTTTCTACCGTATTTGTAAGGTTTTACCCCTTTTAGACATGATTAAATACAAAAATCCCCACAAGAAAACACAAGAACAAACAAATTCGTATCAATACAAAACTTTCGTTTTACAGATTGCTTGGTTTGATTGCCTAATAAAAATCTTAATGTTACTTCCGTTTTTCGCCACGCCCATTCTCTTTCTGCACAGACTCTAATATGCTTACTTTTATCCTCTTTTTATGATGCCAGGCAGCATAAAAATAAAACTTAGTGTTACCTAATTTGTACCGGGTAAGGTAATCCTAATATGAACTGGTTCAATTAAGGTGTATGATGTTCCTTTAACTCGATTTTTAACTAGATTGCAATATTATTGTATCTGGAAAGAATAAAACGCATTATAAATGGACGACTTTAGAAAAAGCCTTAGATTGTTTGAAAAATAAATCATGAGAATTAACCAGTATTCATGTTCAATGAACATGAACCCACTTTAAACAGTCCTTTATAAAGTTGAAAAATATCAGAATGAACATAATCATCAATTCCAAGGGCAGACCAACTGTTGTTCATAATAAAGTTGAACAAGAGCTTGTTAAACATGGAAATGCATATTATGTTTCGACACAATTAATGTGTTCTTGT